ATTTTTCACCTTGTTTCATGTCTTGAAAAAAGGGTAGTTAATAATTTTTTTGAAAAAAAGAGCTTTAACAATAAATGGCCATAATGTTAGAGAATTTTACATTATGTTTGAAGGTGAGTAGTATGAAATTTAAACAAAGGAAACTAGGAAGGTATGAGGGGCAAGTTGGCTGAGGTGGAATGAGAAAATGCATTAAAAGATTCGACAGTACTTGACACAATGGATAGTCTTTAAAGAATTATTGCACAGTTTACAGCAACTATATTTTCATTCAAAGTACAAAATACCCCCAAAAATATCAGTCAACTCCAGCTTTAAGGGAAGTCAAAAGTTGTATAAGATTAAAAAAGAATACCTATTAAGTTGCCAAAAATAGCAATAAACCTTGGGAAGATTTTAGAATACAACAAAGAGAGATCAAAAAACTAACAAAGAAAGGGAAACAGACTATGAATATAAACTCACAACAAACATTAACAACAGACTGTAAAACCTTGCAGAGGTCTGTAAAAAGGTAATGTTTCATGAAGACAAATGTGGATTCATTATGGGCAGAGTCCGGAAGATTTATAAAAGGTAACAAGGAAGTATCATGGAAGATAAATGATTACTTTTTGCTGTCTTCATTTAGGAATACACAAAAAATCTCCCAGCGTTAGAGGTCTAAAGGATTATGAAGAATGAGGAATTGAATAAAATTAGAATAGGATTCTAAAAACCAAATGAAGATCAATTGTAGGACTCAGGGTCTGACCTAATACAGAGCTGTTCCAAATATAAATGTATTTAGACAAGAGTCACAAATTTATTAAATTATCAAAACAGGTACAACAGAAGTGACACTTAAGGCCAATGGTATCCCTGAACTCTGATTGGTCCAGCCTGTGCTTGATTAAATTCTGATTGGCTAGGTGGGACATGTACAGCGCAAGGTCACCTCCTGCTGTCCATTCTTTCTGGATTGGAAGCATAATTAGTGCATTGTCTCAGATTTTGCTTCCTTATTGTGAATTCCTAATCAAATCAGGCACTTCTCTCATCAAGTATGTGTTATTGCTTAGTATCAGCAACTGTCTGCTTTGAACTTTAGCATGATGCAATGTTTTACTTTGGTTGTTGAGTTTTGAACGGACATTTTACTAATAAATATATTGAAAAGTCAATTGTAGCTTCAACTACATGGTACTAAAAAATTTACACAAACTATGTGTAGCATATGTGATTAACAATTCTCAGTATTTACAAGGAGAGGTAGGTAAAATATTCTTATCATTTACTTGGTACAGTCATGAGTGATAAAAGTCAAAAAGGATTGTGTAGTTGAAACCTATCTCTCACTAACAGAGGTTAAACTAAATACAAAAGGTACATTTAACCACTTTGATTTTCTATTATTACTAAACTGAATTCCTACCTTGGACAATTGATTTGGAGAATTTAAGGACACAGCAAAGGAGACTGAGAAACTGATAATGGGTAAATTGTATATAAATGTAAACTGGCAAAAACATTGGTAAAAGCTGCCGTTCGTTCATAAAACAAATCATTTGGTTTAGGTAAATGCAGATCCATTATGGGCATAATCATGAGAATTTGTATGGGCAATAGTTATATGACAGAGAAACTAAATGATTGCTTTGGGTCTATCTTCGCTTAGGAAGGTAAAAGAAATCTCACAGAATTACAGTTCAGGGGTCTGGGAGAATAAGGGATTGAGGGAAATTGGTATTGATAAGGTTTCATAAATTAAATGAACTGAAAGTTGATAAGTCCTTGGGACCTGATATTCTGCATTCAAGGGTGTCGAAAGAACTGGCTATAGAGACAGCATGCAGCGATGATCATCTTCCAAAAGTTCATTGATTGTGGAATGGTGTCTACAGATTGGAAGATAGCAAAAATCACCCCACTATTTAAGAAAGGAGCGAGAGGTAAAAACTGAGATCTGCAGACCTGTTGACCTGCATCAGGAGCAGAGAAAATACTAGAATCTATTATAAAGGATGTAATAAGTAGATGTTTGGATAAAAATGAACTGATTGGGCATAGTCAGCATGGAGTTGTGAATGGGAAACCATGTCTGATGAATCTGTTGGAGTTTTTGTAGATTTTGTAGATAGAATTGATAAAGGGGAGTTTGTGGACATAGTATACAGTGTGTCCCCAATTTACGAACGTCCGACTTACGAACACTGGTATTTACAAACACAGTCCCATACAGGGATATAGTTTTAAAGATCTAATGTATGAACGTTTCCTGTACTTACAAACAGTTACTTTATATTGTCCTGCATTGTGTTCTAACTGATGTACACAACGACTTGCAAACAGAATCAAGTACAGAACCCATTTGCAACCCGGGGATTGCCTGTATTTGAATTTTTAGTAAGCCTTTGATAAAATCACCCACAGGCAGTTGGTCAGAAAACTAAAACACAAGGTATAAGAGGAAACATACTGGCATGGATTAAGGATTAGCTAGCAGGCAGAAAACAGAGAATAATAATAAGTAAGAATGGATGGGTTATCTCACATTGGCAGGTTGTGACTAGTGGAGTATCACAAGGATCAGTACTTGGGCTCCAGCTGTTCACAATATATGCCAATAATTTGAATGTGGGGGCCAAGTGTATTACTTTCATGTCTGTAGATGACATGATTTGGTCAAACTTTGTGAAGGGGCAAGAAAATGACAGAAGAAATATAATGTGGAAAAACTTAAGGTTATTAACTTTGATAGGAGGAACAGATGTATAGAGTAGTTCTTATGTAGTAAGAAGTTAGAAAATCTTAATATACAAAGGGACTTGGGTGTGCTCGTCAATAAGCCATTGAAGGCTAACATACAGATGCAGTAAGCAATTGGAAAGGTTACTAGTACACACTCCTTTATTGCAAGAGAATTTGTGTACAAGAGTTACAAAGTCTTGTTTCAGTACATAAGAGTTGGGTTACATTACACCTGGAATATTGAGTGCAGTTTTGGTCCCCTCACATAGAAGGACTGCAATGAAAGTTCACCAGACATTCTCATCTTGGTGGAACTATCCTTTGAAAAGAGATTGGGCAAATTCTGCATGTATTTTCTAGAATTTTGAAGAATGGGAGAAAGTGATATTGAGACCTACAAAATACTTCAAGGGACAGACAAGGTGGATTTCCTTCTGAGGGAGGGTCACTGGACCCGAAGCATTAACTCTGATTTCTCTCCATAGATGCTGCCAGACCTGCTGAGCTTTTCCTGCAGTTTCTGTTTTTGCTTCTGATTTACAGCATTTGCAGTTTTTTCAGTTTTTGTTAAAGTAGACTTCCTATTGGGAGACTCAGAGTACATATTTTCAAAATAAAGCAGAAGCCACTTAGGGCTGAGGTGAGGATCAAATTTTTTAGACAGAGTGTTGTGAATCTTTGGAATTCTCTACCCCACAGCATTGTCAGAAGCTCTGTCATCAAGTACATCTAGAGTAAAGATTGATAGATTTCTACATCCCAATGATGTAAAGGGATATAGAGATAAGATGGGAAAAAGTGTTTGAAGTGGATGATCACCAATGATTATATTGAAAGGTGGAACAGACTTGGTGGTCTGAATGGCCTACTCCTGTTGTATCTCCTAACACTTCTACACACAGAGGGTAAAGTGGAACTCTTTTTCACAAATAGCAACTGATGTTGGGCCAATTGTTAATTTTAAATATGACCAAACCAAGTAGGAGCAGAATTAGACCATTTTACACGTCAATTCTGTTCTGGTATGCAATAGGATCATGGCTCAACTGGATGTGTTTCAAAATATATATTCCTATTTAACCCTGATAAACCTAAGATTTAGATTTTTGTAAACCATAGAAATTAAGGGATTTTGTATAGGCAAAGGCAGGTGTATGGAGTTAGGTGACAGATCACTCATAATCTCGTAGAATGGCAGAACAGGCTTGAGGGACTAAATAACCTATTCCTGTTCCTACATAAAGTGATTTCTAAAAAACTCAACAGTATTTCAAATGGCAGGTACTAATAATGACCTCAATGAAAGTTAGTTTGAGTTCTACCAAAATCACTTGACTCCAGACTAAAGTTGTAATACAAATATGGAGTTGAAAGGCAAAGAAGAGGTGAGAATAACTATCTTTGACATTAAGAAGACATTTGGCTGAAGACAGCACCAAGAAGACCTGCTTAGTCTCACCTCAAGGTGAATTAAGGTTATTAAGGTTAAAATAGTCACCTCATCCATAGCTCTTGTCACATCTGGTATGAAGGAAGATGTTTGTGGTTGTTAGAGGCCAATTATTGCAGCCCCAGGAAGCTCAGCACATGTTTTGCTGAAAGTAAAGTCTTTGGTCGCTTAGTCAATTACCCTTTCTCTGAGATAAAACCAGGAGCTGGGCTGTTCTCTGAAAAGTTCATGTTGCTCATCTCTGATAATGTCCCTCATAGTGAAATAGCCCAAACCAGCCAACAGCCATACTTGGACAATGGCTTGGGGTTCATCTGGCAAGTAGCATATAATTGTTGCATCTCACATGTCAGACAACATAGAACACTGCAGATATTACTAATATTGATGCATTTTCATCCGCAGACTGACACTGTAGTTACCATAGTAACTGAAAAAGAATATAGTGGAACCAATTGTTTCTCATGGGCAGACTTCCATATTATTCCCTCGGATTATTTACTAACTATGTTTCTTTTCAAAAGGATGTGTAACATTTCTAGCAAAGTATGTCCTAATTAAAAAGGTGTTTCATCTTCAGATCAATCACCCATCCATCCCTCCTAGTGAAAATGTTTGCTTCCAACGATGGTTGGTGTTTGCTGGAAAGATGCATTCCTATAATTTGATTCTGAAGAAACCCTGCATAGATAAATGATGGAGTAACATCACATAACGTACAATTCACTTGAGACCAGAGGAATTATGAATTCAGTTATAAATGCAATCAAAATATCTATTAATATCATGGAGAATACACAATTATCAAATTGTTTTGCAGAGCACTGCTAATTTGAATATTTCAATAACCACTCAGAATGTGGATTGCTATGATAGTGGAATCATTTGCATGAAGTCCCTCGTGATTTCTATTGGAGGCACCCGTCTTCACTTCAATGACAATTCTGGCAAGCCAGTGAGTAGTTATTTTATAAACATAAATTTTGTTGCTTATTTTCTTTCTTGAAAGTATGCAAAAAGTGTTCAAATGCTCCTTTTAAAATAATGTGCAGAAATTGAAACTCATGTGCATGGTTTCTTCATAGGAAACAGTTTATTCAGGCTTGTAAAATATGAACAACCACCACACCGGAAAGGCTACATGGTTATCTCTGAAGGCTTAACGGATAATTGCAGCACATAATTGCTGAACAATATTGATATTGTGCTCTGGTTCAATTCTTTGTGTTGTATAGGCATCTGTCTGAAAGCATTAAAATTAGATCACTGCAGTTTGTAACCCTTATCACTCCAGGACCAGGATAGAACTTGGCAGCATATCCACCACTGATTGCCATTCAGCAGCACTGACTGAAACTGCATTTGTCTCAATGTTCAGTGAGGATCAAGTCAGGAATACCTGTGATAATATGCCCTCACTGTTCAGGAACAGCAGCCTGTGTACACATGAACAGAATGTCTTTTTACACTTCAACAGGAATATAAATACATAGAATCCCTACAGTGTGGGAACAGGCCCTTTGGCCCAACAAGTCCACACCGACCCTCAGAGCATCCCACCCCGACCCATCCCCCTAATCTATACACCCCTGAACACTATGGGCAATTTAGCATGGCCAATCCACCTAGCCTGCACATCTTTGGACTGTGGGAGGAAACCGGAGCACCCGGAAGAAACCCACAGACGCGGGGAGAATGTGCAAACTCCACACAGACAGTGGCCCGAGCGTGGCATTGAACCCAGATCCCTGGCACTGTGAGGCTGCAGTGCTAACCACTGAGCCACTGTGCCTACCCTGGGTATGGCTCTGTAACTGGACAGAATTCCTACAGAGGTTTTCCTATTGAACTTGTCCAAAATGTATTTGAAAATTACAGTTACTGACATTTATGACTGGGTTACCAATTTGATTCTAATTAAGTCACTGTGCAATTGTAATTGTCAGTTTGTTGATGTTTTAATAACTCGGTTGTTCACTTAGAATTCTAACTTTTATGAGCTTCTGAATAAAATCCGTGTCCACCACTGGTCTAACTGTCATTACATAGTTATTATCTGCAGGAAAATCATGAGTTTTCTTATAATTCCAGATGGATTTCAAGTATTTCATTTTAAAGCATTAATTAGATTTCAATTTACAGTGAATGGAATCAAGTCTCTACAATATACTCAGTGATGTCTATATTTAACTTCCACACTACTCCAATATTTGGTTTAACATAAAATGTTCTATAGTAAAAGCAGTCCTGCTATAGTTCAAAATTTATGCACATCTTCTCACTCATTATGCTTTGCTGTATTAACATGTGACGCTATTCACTATCCAAATATATCAACATTAATGATTTTCTGTTCTACATCTTTTCCAACATTTTGCCTATTGTAAAAAAGAATAAAACATAAAAGTAGTCACTGTAAATGCTTTTTGTGCACACCTTGGATTGCAAAATAACTCCTGGCCTCTATGACTACTGCCAACAGTGAGCTCCATTATGGAGCCTGGGGAGAATTCTACTGTTTGAGCATGGGATGATAAATACTTAACCCTAGCGAACTGCGCATTCTTGTGAAGAGTTAAGTTTATGAATAGATACAGAAACAACTTCTTTAAAATTTTAGTGTGTCTTCAATTTATATAAAGTAACATATGTGTATGTTTACCTACAAAATGAGTGCTTGTGTTATTGAAGTAAGTTATTTTTTCTATTTTATGCAGTTAATTTATTTTGTTTCACTCTTGAACTTTTGATTCTGAAGGAAGTCTCAAATTTCTGGAAGATCTTATTTGCTATTGACAGTCAGAGACATTGAAGCCTTATCTACTTAAATTCAAGAGGGCCCTTTATGCTGAATGCACTTGTCATGTAAAAGAAATTGGCCACATATCATGCCTGCTGCCCCTCTCAGGTCTCAGTTCCAATCAGTTCATTTTTCCCCCCATTTTATTGTCTAAAGAATACTGCTGCTTTCCTGCTCAAAATGCTAGTTCTGTCAGATGAAAATTTCATCATTCCAAATTCCATAAGTTCTATCTCAATCTAAAAGTCAATCCTCCACCTAACCTCCCTATCCCATCCACCATCACCCAACCTCCCTCCTCCTTTACTGTCCTGCATTGCTCACAGCCTTCAAGCTATTTCTGTCTGTTACTCCACACACTCTACCTGCTTTTGCCATATCACCTAAAAATATTACCTGTCTTTCAATTCCTTATGCCTAGCTCGGCTGCACAGCTTCACTTTGCTGGCACTTTAGATCTTGTACCATATCCGACTTTAGAAGACAGTTTTTCAACTTACTTCTTATGAGCAATGCCACGAGAGAGCAGAGAAAGTACTTGTGATAATATGCCCTCACTGCTCAGGAACAACAGCCTCTGTATATGTGAACAGAATGTCTTTTTACACTTCAACAGGAATATAAATACCTTGGCCGGGAGCAAGTTGAATTTAAGATGAAAATCTGGTATAAAACACATTTAATTTCTATACTAGATGAAGAATGCACTTAAACATCCAAATATATATTTTCCATTTTATTTGTGAACACTATCTGAAATAACTATGACAAGTTATTTCGGTAATTAATATGTAATCAAATATTGTAATTTTATGCCATTTTAGTTGCAATCTTTTTTAGGAGCAATTGGGTTTTTCACAGATATGTTAACAGCAAACTTGATAGTGCTAAATGAACAGTTGATTCATCCATTAAATGCTATAGTTACATGGTATAAGAATTTTGACACAGTTGAATACTGACAGAAGACTAAAGTTACTACTTGTGATTGCTGTTTCTACTAGAGCTTATCTGCGGTAAGGAAAGCAGTACATGATTTTCAGCTCTGGAAAGCAGGTTACTACTCAGTGGTACATTACCCACTGCAGGAGATTACAGTGTTTTGGGATAGGAAGACAACTGTACATATTCAAGTTGGACCTCAGTGGCAAGTAAGTAGATTAATTACTTTCAACTTTGCCCATGGGAGTGCATTGCATTTACAGGTAACAGAATATCAAATTTGAAATGTCAAAATAAACATTAAATATTGCAGAAATCCAAAATAAAGACAAAAAGTGCTGGAAATACTCAGCATTTCTGAAGGAGCACTGTAATAGACTCGACATGTTCCCTCTGTTTCTCTCTCCACAGATGCTGCCAGACACACTGAGAACTCCCAGCACATTCTGGTTTTTATTTTGAAAATATCAATTCTTGGGCAGTTCAGATTTTCACAATAGGATACAGATCTTTGATATGTCCTATTGAAGCATATGCCTAGCTCTGAGAACAATTACAGGGAATAAACGCTTCTTAGCAAAGCTGAACCATGCAAACCATCATGTTGCCACAATACAAGAAATAAAATCTGAGAGAAATGTCTCCATACATGCATTGTGGTGTGTTTCTCACATTACAATAATGACTACACTTCAAACGTGCTTTATTGGCCATAAAGGGATTTGGAATATCATGAAGTTATGAAAATCACAATATAAATGCAAGTTATTTGTTTTAAAGATACAGTGGTTTTATGCATCATTATTATTGATGTAGCCACTAACTTTCTTCTGTGCTTCTAAAATTGAATTTGCTATAACTGGGATGGGAAGAATGCAGTGATATTCAAACTCCAGAACTCCACCATTAGTGTAAACATGTTGATTCAATTCCCAAGATGGCTAATTGCTTCTTTTTTGTACTACTATCCCAAAAAATAAACACCCACCCAGTCTCTGTAATGAACTCTGAAATAACTCCATAGACACCGGAATCCCGTCACCAAATTATCCTTTATTTACATGTGGAAAGTCCTTGACTCTGGCACAGCCTCATCAAAGTCAGCCACCAGAGTGTTGGAATCTCTGATGTTCCTCTTTTTATCTGTCACTCAGGGCTACCTGACTGGACCAATTTAACAGCCCCAGTCAGGGAACCCATATTCTATGAGGTCCAGCTGGTTGGCCTTGTTACAATCACTACGAACTCAAAATAATCAATCTATTATCAACAAAACTTATTCTTAAAACAGTGACAAATTCTGGTTAACACTTGATATGCGACATGGAATTAAAACCATATCCCCTTAATCGCACATACAGACATTCACACAACACAAAAATGTGAGTCCCTGTGGAGATGACGAGTCTTTTTTGGGTGTAAAAGGAAAGAAATAATCTCTATTGTCTATGCATCTAGAAACAAAGAATAGAATATGATCACTTCTCACATCCACTTTTTATTGTTGCTGGAGTTGAAATGGTAACAGTTGTAGATTGATGATAGAAATTCAGTTCTGATTCTAATCGCCTTGGTTTCAAGACTCGAAAAAATAGTCACAGGTTTTAGGTTTTACTAGGTAGAAAGGTTGGTGTGTGGAAACTTTATGAGAATCCCAGGAACTTAACTGGAAACAGAATTTCAGGAGAGAGTCTGTCATCCTCAGGAGTGTCTTCCTTATTCTTATTTGTAAGTCTGTAGAATCAAACTCTTTAAGACCAGAGAGAGTTGCTAGGCAGTTATTAGCATAGGGCCCTCAAAAGTAGGGGCTGTTTTTTTCAGTAAATCGATAAACCCCATCTCTTAGCTCTTGCTTAGCCATTTCTCCAAATCACTTAATTTCTAGCAAGATGAAGGTAGCTTACAACACTACATTAAACTCTTGATTTCAGTTTCCAAGAAATCATATGATGAAACTTTTCTTGTTCCGGAGAATGTTAAAATTGTCTAAAATCTTTCGGTATTCCCGGATAGTCCTTTAACATAAATATGTATTCCCAACAATTTACGTTGTGAAGCAGGTCATCATGTTGCTGGGATGTAGTCTACCATTATTTGAGAAACTAAAGCAGAAAATAAATAGCTTAAAATGCAGTAAATGTGCGTTACTAATGTTATTTGTAGGCTCTGGCATACAATTCATAGCGCAGAATTTGCTCACTGTTAATCTTTGTATCACTATTAACACAAAACTAAGCAGCTAAATGCATGACAGATTTACTTATAAAAAGCTGTGCAATCTAATCATCTTTCTGCTTATTTAAAATATTGTATGTGAAGTTTTGTATGTCAATAAATGTAACACAGACAGATGATTATTACCTGACCCACAAACAAATTGGAATATGTTAAATAAGGTTAGAGAATTAAACGCTTGGTGTAGGAGAAGTGGGTTTCAATTTGTGTGCCTCAAGCCTGCTCCTGAAGGAGATGGGAACTATACCTTTGGGTCAGTCTTCACCCAAACCATTCTAGGACCAGTATACTGGCACGTCATATGGGGTGGTTGAGGGCTTTTAACTAAATAATGGGAGTGAGGGATCAAGATTGAAAGGATATGATAAATAATATGTCGGAGGTTGAGGTTTTCCCACAATCTAGCATCTGTGGTATGTTTTACAGAAATTTTGTGGGCTATCCATAATATGTCCTGATGATTTTCAGTCAGCACCAATATCTGGTGAAAATCTTTCCTTTCTCAGGTCTACGAGGTCACGTTTTCATCAGAATCCCATTTTTTTAAGATGGTAAATTTCCTAAACTCCCTCTGTGTCAACTTCAGTTTGAGCTGACTGAACTGCTTAACTCTGATTGACTGGCTAAACATTGAAACAGAGAAACTTGTTGAACCTATTTCCATTAGGTCATTCAAAACCCCAATGAATATTTCAAATAACCAAAGCTCAATTTGATGGAACTTGTTCAGTTATTGCTTGGGTCATTAAACATTATTTCTGAAAACATTTTCTGTAATAACACTGTCTCATTGGCATCATTTGTTCATTTTGTGACGATTGGAAAAGCAACTAATTTTGTTCCATTTGTCTAAAATTGGTTACATTTAATAAATATTCCTCTACCAGATAATTTGTACAAACTGACAAAGCAATTTTGATTAAGAAATCGAGCTCATTTCCTTTCTATTTTTCTTTGGTTATTACCCCGCTCCAATTACAATTTTCCTGCTTTGTCTTCTCTTGGATGGAGGCCTCAATTTTATTTTATGCACAAATTTAATGCACAATAAAGATACAGTCACTTCCCAAGAAGCCTAATTGTGGAAATGGTTAAGATGCCAATTAAAGTAACATAGATAAAAGTTCATTCTCTCTCATTTTTGTGGTGCATCAAATCTAATTTCCATAGGGTCAGGGTATGGGTAAGTGGAAACATCAGAATAACTGGTTATTGCACTAAAGTAAGATAAATGTATATCAGAAACAGTCCATAAATGTGAAGAACTGATGAAGCTGTAGTTCAAGAAAGAACAAAAATAGCCTTACCTTTTTCAAAAATTTGTTGTGTGCTTATTTGCAAAAGCATTTTGATGACTAATGATGTTTTACTTGGATATCTTGTATTCTAACCATTGCACTATCTCAACATTGGCAGGGTAAAATGACAGGTTTGTGTGGAAATTTTGACAAACATACTGCAAATGACATGACCACATCAAACAACATGGAAGTGAGCAATGCTCAAGCTTTTGGAGATAGCTGGGCTCTTGGTCAGGTAAGAATAACAAGGTCACAAAATGGTGTAGAACAAGGAAGGAAATTTAGCCTTTTAAGTCCATTGTGGCAAGGTCTATTCCATTTGGTTTAACCTGAGTGACGTGAATAACTGTAGGCAAAAACTTCAAACAGAAAATGTGAAACTTCTCTTGAATTGAGAAAAGGTAACTTCTCTATAATGCATTGAAACAGTATAATCAGTTGTTTAATCCTGCCCATTTTAGTTCAGCAAAGGCATGCCTCAGCAATTCAAAACATAGTGGTGTATAGATTGTTTGAAATTCTAAGTTGGCTTAAGATCCTCTTCCACAGCTACACTGGCCCCATCCCCCACCTCTTCCTCCATTATATCGATGACTGTATCGGAGCCGTCTCATGCTCCCACAAGGAGTTTGAACAGTTCATCCACTTTACTAACACCTTCCGCCCCAACCTTAAGTTCACCTGGACCATCTCTTATACCTCTCTCTCCTTCTTGGACCTCTCTGTCTCCATCTCTGGTAACCACCTGGAAACTGATATCTATTTCAAGCCCACCGAACCCCACAGCTACCTCGACTACACCTCCTCTCACCCACCTTCCTGCAAGAATACCATCCCCTATTCCCAATTCCTTTGCCTCCGCCGCACCTGCTCCTAAGATGAGGCATTCCATTCCCGAACATCCCAGATGTACTTGTTTTTCAAGGACAGCAATTTCCTCTCCACAGTGGTCGAAAACGCCCTCGACCACATCTCTCGCGTTTCCTGCACCTCAACCCTCACACCCCTCCCTGCAATAACAACAAAAACAGAATTCCCCTTGTCCTTACGTATCACCCCACCAACCTCCGGATTCAATGCATCATTCTCCGCCACTTCTGCCACCTGCAATCTGACCCCACTACCAAGGATATATTTCTCTCCCCATCCTTATCTGCCTTCCGGAGGGACCACTCTCTCCGTGAGTCCCTTATCCACTCCACACTCCCCACCAGCCCCACCACCCCTTGCACTTTTCCCTTCAACCGCAGTAAGTGCTACACCTGCCCCTACACCTCCCCCCACACCTCCCCCCCTCACTCCCATTCCAGGCCCCAAGAAAACCTTCCACATTAAACAGATGTTCACCTGCACATCTGCTAATGTAGTCTATTGTATCCGCCGTTCCTGATGTGCCCTCCTCTACATCGGGGAGACCAAGCGGAGGCTTGGAGACTGCTTCGTAGAGCACCTATGCTTGGTTTGTGATAAATGACAACACCTCCCAGTTGCGAAGCACTTCAACTCCCCCTCCCACTCCTTGGATGACATGTCCATCCTGGGCCTCCTCCAGTGCCACAACGATGCCACCTGATGGCTGGAGGAACAGCACCTCATATTCCGCTTGGGAACCCTGCAGCCCAACGGTCTCAAAGTGGACTTCACAAGCTACAAAATCTCCCCACCCCCGACCGCATCCCAAGTCCAGCCCATCTTGTCTCTGCCTCCTTGACCTGTCCGTCTTCCCTCCCAGCTACCCGCCCCTCCCTCCTCACTGACCAACCCTCATCCCAACTCCCTACCTACACTCACCTGTACTGGCTTCATCCCCGCCTCCTTGACCTGTCCGTCTTCTCTCCACCTTGCTGCTCCTCTACCCACCCTCTATCATTGCCTCCCCCTCTCTCTATTTATTTCAGAGCCCCCTTCCCCTCCCCCATTTTTGAAGAAGGGTCTAGGCCCGAAACGTCAGCTTTCCTGCTCTTCTGATGCTGCTTGGCCTGCTGTGTTCATCCAGCTCTACACCTTGTTATCAAAGATCTTAATTAGTTTGCTTTGAATTTTTAATGTGAACCTCATGTTACTGTTTCATTATCTGTTCTTTGGATTTTCGTAGAGTCAGGAAGACTTCAAGGTTGCTTTTATACAACAATTATTAATAGACTGTGCATGATGGTAAGGCTATAGAGCAACATGCTGTGTGCTGTACAGGTTCTAACATCCTAGCAGAGTACCAGAATATCACTACTAAGGTCCCAGTCACATTACAAGTTACCTCAGAGTCTCATCAATATATACATTAAACCCTATCTCTACATCTCCCCTCAACTACTTTCTTAGTTTTTGACATTTTTAATGAAAAGCATTTTGTCAACATTATTGACTGAAACATTTAACTGAAGTGTCCCTTTCAATTGAAAGTATTTCCAGGCTCACTTTCTCAATCCAAAGTCTATTATTCCCTGTGGAGATCTCGCAATTCTCCCAGGTCTGGTCAGTCAGAGTAGGACTGGGAGGGTGCTGACCTGAAGGCCAGCCTAGAAACATACTGTCAGCAGCTGAAATGAAACAAAAAATAGTTAGTAGCACTATCCCCGAAGCTGTTAGTGTTGAAAGGACCAGTGGCTGGCAGGCTGTCACATTAGGATGAAGGCAGGTGGCTACTCACCAATAGGTACCATTTCCACTTGACTGGTGGCTCATTCCTTTTTGCTCTTCCATGAACACGTCTGTTGAAAAGAAGTTCTGACATAGAGAGACTGCTGGATAGTGAAGTTGCATAATTGAAGAAGAGTTGAGGGGTATCACCATTCAACTGTAGGAGCAGCACAATGACAACTTGAGATTCTTATGCTGTGTTCACAAGTTTAGGATGAAGAGAAGAATTAAACATCAGGAAGACTTTAAAGTGCACAAACAAACGTATGAACAATGGGCTAGAATATGTCATGCAGCAACTCAAACCTGCTCTGCCATTTAATCAGATGGGAGTTTTGAAGAAAAATTTTATCATGCACGAAAAGTTAACTCTGTTTTTCTCTCTCTACACTTGCTATCAGACCTACTGAGTTTCTCCTGCACTTTCTGCTGTCATTACAATCAGATTAACCCTGATCTACCCTTGATAACTTTTCACCTTTTTGCTCACCAGTAATCTACCTACCTCGACCTTAAAAATGTTGAAAGACTCTGCTTCCACTGCCTTATCAGGAAGAGAATCTCAAAGTCTCAATCCCTCTGTGACAGAAAATAAGTCACCACATCACTGTGTTAAAAGGTGACCCCTTATTTTTCAACAGTGACCCTAAGCTCTAGATTCTCCCATAAGAGGAAGCATCGTCTTTACATCTACCCTGCCGAGACTACTCAGGATCTTAAATGTTTCTATCAAGTCACGCTATATTCTTCTAAGTTCCATGGATGCAAGCCTAGCCTGTCCAACTTTTCCTCATAAGAAAACTTGCCCATTCCAGGTAGACCTTCTTTGAATTGTTTCTCATACATTTACATCCTTTCTTAAATAAGGTGACCAATTCTATTCACAGTCCTCCAGATGTGCTCTCACCAGTTCCCTGTATAACATCCCCACAGTTTTTTCTTAAAATAAATTCTCTTCACAGCAAATTATAATGTTCTGTTAGCTTTCTTAATTATTTATTGCTCTTGCATTTTGTGATTCATGTACTAGACTTGTTCAAACTCTCATCATTTTAGATAATATGCTATTTTTGTATTCTTCCTGCCAAAATGGACAATTTCACATTTTCCCACATTGTAGCCCATTTGCCAGATATTTGTCCAATGACTTGACCTGTCTATATATTTTTGTTACCTCCTTAAGTCCTGTTTGCTGGCCATCTAACCATGCCAATATGCTACACCCGGAACATAGGAACAGGAATAGGTTATTCAGCCCCTTGAGCCCCTTCTACCATTCAATGAGATCATAGCTAATTTGTGACCTAACACCATATACCTGCCTTTAGCCCATATCTCTTAATGCCTTTGTTTAACAAAAAAATTATCTGTCTTAGATTTGAAATTGATAACTGATCCAGCATTAACTGCCATTTGTGGATCAGCATTGCAAACATCTGCCACCCTTGTGTGTAGAAGTGCTTCCTAACATGTCTCCTGAATAATCTGGCTCTAATTCTTAGGCTATGCCATCTAGTTCCGGAATCCCCAACCAGTGGAATAATTTATCTTTATCTACCCTGGCTTTTCTTGTTAATATCTTGGAGACTTTGATCAGATCACCCTTAACCTTCTAAACTCTAAAGAAAACATGCATAATTTGTAAATCTATCCTCACAATTTAACTCCTGAAATCCAGGTATCATTCTTGTAAACCTACATTGTACTCTCTCCAAGTCAAATACACCTTTCTGAAGATGTGATGCCCAATCTGCTTGCTCACAGTGCTCCATTTAGGGTCTAACCAGGATTTTGAATAACTGCAGCATAATTTCTGCATCCTTGTACTCCAGTCCTCTGGATATAAAGGCCAGCATTCCATTAGCTTTCTTATTATTTTCTTCCCCTGTTTGTGACATTTTAAAGATCTATGCACCTGAACCCCAAAGCCTCTTTAGACATCTACTGTATTTAACATCTCGAAAGTATCTCTTCTTATTTCAAAATGGTTAACATCATACTTGTTTACTTTGAACTCTATCCCCCACAGTTTTGCCCATTCACTCAGTCTGTCAATATCCTTTTTTCTACAATACCACCTAGCTTTGTGTCATCAGCGAATTTGGATATATGAGTTTGTATGCCATTATGCAAGTTGTTAATAAATTATGTTAATAATTAACGCCCTAATAAAGATCCTTGTGGGACACCACTGGTCACATCCTGACAAATTGAGCCTACATTCTGCTGCCTGCCGCTCAACCAATTTCAAGGACAAAGAAGAACAAAGAACAAACAATACAGGACCAGGCCCTTTGGCCCTTCAAGCCTGCACTGACACCTTTTGCCCTTCCATACTAAAATTGTCTTCACTTACAGGATACGTATCCCTCTATACCCTTCCTGTTCATGTATTTGTCCAGGTGCTTCTTAAATGCAGCTAGTGAGTTTGCTTCCACCACCTCCTCTGGCAACACGTTCCAGGCACTCACTACCCTTTGTGTGAAAAACGAGCCTTGCACATCTCTTTTAAACATCCCCCTTGCAACTTGAACCTGTGTCTCCTAGTAATTGACCCCTTCACTTTGGGAAAAAGCTTCGTACTTTCCACTCTATCCT